CCCTTTCCTCTGGCTCAGGTCTCAGTTCAAAGGGCATCTTTGGCTGCCTCCAGAAAGGAATTCTGAGGTCACTGGGGATAATGGCGGAATGGAGACCTTTCATCAAATACACTTCAGTATGTGCCAAGATTCAAACCACAGGAATTAATTACCTTTCAAAACATAAATGAAAAAAATAAATGAATGCTACTTCTTCCAACAAGTTTCTGGCCTAAACTGCTCCATTCCAACTTGGGTGAGATGTCCCTGATGTTTTCATGCTTCTCAGTACATTTCCATAACAGACTTTATCACACATCACCAGGTCCAACTGTGGGCTTACAAATAAGATTATAAATCCTTAGACTCTGTATGTACCTCACCATTACAGCCTGAAAAACAAATGAGTAAATAGATACATACATAGTGAAAGTTCAACTGGTGCTGCAGTTCTTAGTAAGTGTGACATACATTGATAAATACGTTCACATGCACCTACCCTCATATGAGGTATTCAGATATCAACAGACTAAAAAAATAATAAGCACAGATTGGTTTGCATTGTGCTGCCATTATATAATTTGGAAACATACATTTATATATGTTATGTGAATAGTGTAAAAGTATTTTATCACAAAAAATAAATGGTATGTTACTTAAATTTTACTCTTGAATTATACTTGATCTGATTTCAGACCATTGCTTCAAAATTAACATTAACAGGATGAAAAATTAAAACTATTGAAGAATGTAAGAATGATTTTGCAACCATGCCTGTAAACTCAACAAAATCTGATCATGCTAAGGCTAAAAATAGCTAATAGTATAGAAGGATTAGCTCAGTTGCAAAGTCCTTATTAGTGTTTTTAAAAATTGGCAGACATCAATTTTTGGCTGCAAAAATAGGCTATATTTGAAGATAGCATTATGTAACCAAGGAATTCCAAGAATGAACAACCTCACAAATATATGAACTCAGAGTCTTCCCTACAGAGATTTACCTTAGCCCTGAATAATTTATAGACAAGGCAATTCCATTTCCTGAGACTGTCAACAAGGAAGCACCTGCTACTTCAAAGCCTACTCGATCTCAAAATCACAGGTCAAATACCAGCACCAAAAAGCAGAGCTCCTCACTAACAAAGACTGCCACTTTCTCAAGCAGGAGAAGTGGCAAAGTATGTGCCACCAAAAGTATGATCAACCCACGAGTGAACTAAGAGTATTATGCCATGTTATGGCTTGTGTTTAGATTACTGCCCCCAAACTTCATGTGGTCATAGGTGGGGCTTTTTCAGAGGTGGCTGGATCTAGAGTGTGTGACTCTGGAAGTGATTCATGGTGTAATGCTAAGATCAAGGGCACTAGGATTAAAGGTGTGGGTGCTAACCACCGAAATAGCCTGGATAAGATATAAGGGATGGAAAGAGCTGCGGTGGACCCTTGTTGTTTTGATCCTTCTATCCACCATGAACTGTTTCTCCTCTGTGATGCCTGTTTGCCATGCCACCTGCCTTGGAGCCAGCCTATTATAGACTGAAACCTCTACAAACTGAGCTAAATAAGCCTTTCCTCCTTTAACTTTGGGTGTCTCAAAAATGAGAAAAGTAAGACACTCCACATACCTACAATGTGTAGTATATTCACTTTATTTCATTTAACACTTTCTAAAATTCCTTTATACTTTTCTCTGTAAACAAGGGTAAGTTAAAAGGGAATGACATCAAGAAGAATAAATACATAAGGGCTGGGAATTTAGCTCAGTGGTTCTGCTGCCTGCCTCGAAAGCACAAGGTCCTGGGTTCAATACCTGATCCCCCCCGCCCAAAAAAAAGGCTGGGGATTTAGCTCAGTGGTGCTACCACCTGCCTCACAAGCGCAAGGTCTCAAGTTCAATCCCCAGTACCAAAAAAAAAAAGACTGGGGATGTAGCTCAGTGTGAAGGCCCTGTGTTCCACGTCCGGTATTAACAAACACACAAACAAAAAAAGAATAAACACATGAGAACACCAAAGGATTTTTTTTAAAGGAATAATTAACAGAACAAACTATAAAACCATAACTTAAATTGCAAAGCACTGGCACAATACGGTAAACTTGGAGGTTAAAAAAGAAAAATGGCACATTCATTATTCCTATTGCTATGCCTTAAGAAGTTCAACTTTTGCCAGGCATGGTGGCACATACCCGTAATCCCAGCATTCAAGAGGCTGAGGCAGGAGGATCACCTCAAGTTTGAGGCCAGCCTGAGCTACACAGTTAGTTTAGAGCCACCCTGAACTACAAAGCGAGACCCTGTCTCAAAACACACACCCACACAAAAACAACTTTTTCCCCACTGCTCTTTAGTGCCAAACTCTACATAAATCAGGTATACTAGTCTTCACTTATCCATAGTTTCACTTTCCAGAGTTTTAGTTACTCATGATCAATCATGGTCTGAAAATATTAAGCGATAATTTCAAGAAATAATCCATTAAGTTTTAAATTGCACACCATTCTGAGCAGCATATGAAATCTTGTGCCTCCCATGTATCCCTGTTCATTTAGTTTGGAACTACTCCTTTCTCCAGCATATATGCTACCCTCCTGTTAGGCAAACAGGAGGCATCTTGGCTATCAGATCAACTATCACGATATCACAGTGCTTGTACACAAGATTCGGTATAATATGTGGTCTCAGTTCAATGAGGGTTGAATAAGGCATATTACTGTACACACAAATACATATAGATCTTATTCTTAGGCATTTTAGCTACTCTTATTTTTTTGTTTTTGGCCATACTGGGGATTAAACCTAAGTCCTTCACAGTGAACCACATGCCCAGCCTTTATTTTTTTATTTTGAGACAGGGTCTTGATAAGTCACTAAATTGCCCAAGATGGGCCTAACTTGCAATCCTCCTGTTTCTAACAGAGTGCTAGGATTACAGGCATGTGCCACACCAAGCCTAGTGTTTTGTTTTGTTTTGTTCATTTCCATTTAAATATTGCAATCAGCCTATCAACATCCCCCAATCTTCCCAAACAAAGCTATTAGAATTTTAATTAGAACTGCCTTCAATTTATAGGTCAAAATGGGAAGAAATGGGATTTTTATAGCAGTCTTCTATTCCTTAAACATCAGCTAAGCTATGTGTATATGTATAAATCTGTTTAAAAAAAGATTTTGTTTTAAATCTAGTTATTGAATATATGGAAATTCAATGTTCTAGTCACTCTACATTACCATAAGTCCATTTTTATAATGAAGAGTTAAAATGACATACTGTCTTCCACCTACCAAAATGGCAATGACTGCCAAGCATTGTGACAAACACCTGTAATTCCAGCACTTGGGGGGATGAGGCAGGAGGATTTCCAGTAGTCTGAGGCCAGCCTAGGCTAATGGGCTACACAGTGAGTTCAAAGCCAGCCTAAACAATATAGACAGACTCTGTCTCAAAAAGGGGCAATGGTCAAAAATCCTAAAGTGGCCAGGTATAACACCTGTAATCCCAGAATTTATGGGGGACTGAGACAAGAATATAAGTTAGATGTTAGCCTGGGCCACATAACATAGTGAGTTCAAAACCAGACTGATCTACTTGCAAGACTTTGTTTAAAAAGAAGAAAAGAAGGTCAAAAAGTGCATTAAGGACAGGAGTGGTGGTGCAAACCTACAATCCCAGGATTTGGGAGGGTGAGGCAGGAGGATTTCCATGAGTTTAAGAGGCCAGCCTGGATTATATAGTGAGTTCAAGGACAGCCTGAACTACATAGCAAAAGAAAAAGTGCATTAAATTAGCAAAGATGTGGAGAAACAGACCTCTTCATACATGGCTGGTAGGAGAATAAAACTTCCATGGAGCAATCTAACATACCTACCAAAATTACAGATCCACATACATTTCCACCCTGCAATTCCACTTCAAGGGTTTCTTAGTCTTTGTGTTCTTCTATAGTGGGGGGATGGAGCTGAAAATTATGAAAGCATTCTACCACTGGGCTACATCCCTAGCACTCCTCCTTTTTGAGCTAGGGTCTCATAAGTTGCCCAGGCTGACCTCAAATTTGCAGTCCTCCTACCTCAGCCTCTTGACTGGGGTCACAGGTTATAAGCCTTAAAATCTTACTTTAAGAAATTCATACTAGTGGACTGGGGATTTAGCTCAGTGGTTCTGCTGCCTGCCTTGCAAGTGCAAGGTCCCAAGTTTGATCCCTGATACCCCCCCAAAAAAAAATTAAAAAAAAAAAAGAAATGTATACTACAGACATATTCTAGTATGAAAAATACTAGAACTCCATGCATGAGAAATAATGTACACAGCATCATCTGTTACAATAAAAGATCAGAAACAGTCTAAATATCCATCAATAGAAAACCAATTAGAGCCGGGTATGGTGGCACAAGCCTGTAATCCCAGCACTTGGGAGGCTGAGGCAGGAGGATTGCTGTGAATTCGAGACCAGCCAGGG